AAACCCCGAAACCCGAACCCCCGAACCCCAAACCCTAAACCCTAAAACCTAAACCCTTAAAACTTAAACCCTAAACCCTACCATCCTTGTATATATTCCCTAGATGCTTTAATGCATTTTGAGAGAGGTGCCAAGAATATAGCCCATGATAAGTCTCCAGCATCTCTTGGGTTATTGCCTTAGTCATTGCTTGATTTTGGTCAATAAATATGGTGATAGGCTTCTTCCCAAACATTGTTTGCAAAAATATCTCAAATAACCATTGAAACAATGCTGTCATTTCATCGTACAATAATGCAACACCTAAAATCACAGTCTTTCTAAATTGATTAAAGCTAGCAAAGCATGCAAAAGGCCGATACTCCTTGTTCATACTGAATGTTGTGTCAAATGAGACAACTTTCCAAAGTGGCTATAGTCAATAATCATTTTGGAGTCGGCCCAAAAAATAATTGTAATATGTTCCTCAACATCTAGCTAGATATCGTAGTAGAATGATGGATTTTTAACCGCTTCTAACTAAAAATAATTCAACAAACTAACAGCTTCACCATATCTCAACTCTTGTTGCCTCCTATCACGAATGTAATTCTTTGGTCTTGCCGAGTGATATCTCATAATTCAATATCATGTCAACATGAATGCCTTGCACATTAGATAGCTTCCTTTGGGATGACATCATATGCACACATTCCTTAAGGTGCAATGGATGATTGTAATTATCCTCTCATTTGACCACGATAAATTTCCCGATTGAGAGATATGCACATGAGAGCCAGACATTTGGTTCGTGTCTTCACTCGCGACTTTATTACTTTCCAATCCCTATTATCCACATCTCTTTACCCCTCTTTGTAACAAACATGCTTTCTATAAATCATGATCTGATCTTCTTCCTTTCATTGTGATAGTCTTGTTCTCACACTAAATCCGATCGAACTTCCATATTTGTTATAAAACTCATAAGCATCTTCATCTGAGTCAAACTGTATACCAATACTTGGAGCGTTACAATTTCATTAACCACAACGAACTCCGTCATAGATGTCAGTACCACAATGTATTTTTTTTTTCCAACAGTAGGTTACATGGGGAGGATGTCGATGAGATTCGAATTCATGATCAATATAAATTAACAACAAACCAAAGCATCACAATTAAAGCATATCATAAAATTTAATAATGATCAAATAAATCAACAAAACAATCGAAGATTCAAAATTTTAAAACTTAAATTTAGATCAAAAAAAATCCAACTAATAAAAATATAAATTTTTGAGTGTGTATGTATATTCATATGTGTGTGTGTGTGCGCGTGTGCGTGTGCGTGTGCGCATATATACACTTAAGAATATTTGAAATGGACATAAGAATACCTGAAATAGACAAAGGAGATGAATCGCAAAACCCAAATGTTGCCTATGTGAATATACAATTCTTGCTTCATTTCTTGGAAAAGGTAAGGGTGGATTATGATTTTTTTTTTTTTTTTTTTTTTTTGTTCCCGTTGAGCACCAAGAATAGAGTGGATTTTGTTTGTTTTTGGTCTAGTAGCAGGTAGTGCACCAAAACTTGGCGCATATGGAATGAAATTTTTTGGGATGACACTATACGGCACCGTTTGAGGAACAAAATCAGGAATTAAAAAAGGGGAGCAAAACTATGCCGTTTTGGAGGAACAGCAAATCCTGTTATTCTTGGCGAACAGCAAGAGAGCCGGATCCTTGTTCCATCTCTCTCTTTAAAATTTTATTTTAGCTTATTACACTTTCCTCCCTCAGACAATTACTCCAATTTCACTTTACTTTATCTGCCTGCAATTTTCTCCAAAGGAAATTTAAGAAAGTGGGAAAGTAATTAATAAATTTGGAAGGAAAATTTGAGAAAATAGATAGTCAAAAAAATAATGTGAAGATGTGGGACATAGTTCTGGGTTGCTAAGTACAATATACCCTCCGTTGGTATCTATTTGGAAGTTACCTTCAAACAACCCTATAGAAAAAATCCCATGTAGTTTGCTTTACTGTATGATAATGGTTTTGACTTTGGAGAATATCGGCTTTTGTTATTTTAGATGTATCAATCCTAAACCTAAGCTTCGTCTCTGAATTCTCATCGATTGTGTTTGATTTAGGATCACACTTGAATCTCTAACAAAATATATGTGATATTTGAATCACGTGGTTTTGTTGTAATGCCCCAATCCGGGGTACAATATCTGTAATATATTCTTGCCATTTTTTTTATACACATTACTTTATATAAATATAAGCAAATAAAAAAGAAATTCATCAAACCCCTTAGTAGAATGGCTTGTCATGAGTCCTACTTATTTACAGACCATAATATTGATCCCGAGAATATGATATATAAAAATACAATTTAAATTTAAAGGACATATAAACATGACCCCATGATGACATCTCAATCGACCCTCTAGACTCGACAAGAGACTCCTCACGTCTTTCTGTTTTTCTTGAAAAGTCATTAAGACCATTAATAAGAGCAAATATGCAATAAATATTTATGACCACAACAACTGATAAAAGAAACTTTATTTATTTATGAACAATCTTAACCACTCATCAAATACTTATTTTCAAATTACACTTTATCTCATACACGTTCATTTACATCACATAGACATAACTTATATATATCATATCAACAAAATATACAACACATATATTTACTTGCACATAATTAAATTTTTTCACACAATGAATATCCCACACTCACAAACTAATCACACAATAAACAACAACCATCACACAAGTTGTATTTAGTTGCGCAGATTCTTACGTCGCATATGTATTGTAGGCTTGTATCAACACAGAGATATTATTCGTCACTTAGACAACTCAAACCACATTAATGGTTTATGTCCTTCAGACGACTCGCATCACACAGAGTTTTTTATCACGTCACTTAAACGACTTCACCACATGATCAAATCTCGTCACATAGAAGACTCAAGTCATATAAACAATTCATGTTACTTAGACAAGTCAACTCATATAATCATCTCTCATCACTTAAACGACTCTCGTAACACTATTCTGTGCCTCCGCCCAATTAATTATTCCCAATTATAACCATAGTAAAAATATGTGTTTACAAGTTTAATAAATTTTCACAAAAAAATTGTAGGGT